TTGATTCATTAGATGCTATGAAACACTAGAGTAAGCTGAAGTTATGAGGAAGCAGAGAGGGGAAGCAGCAAAAAGTCTTGGTTATCAAAAGATACAGAATAGAGAATAAGGAAGCCAATAAGTAGCAGAGAGAGCAGAGAAAGATAGATGTCAAAGCTCAGGGAGTCGCTGAGTTACATAATGACAAAGAACTAGGGTTAATATCCAAGGATTCCTGATGAAGCTTCTTCTGGCCAAGAATGAATAAACTTCCAATTCAGCCTCTATGAGGGCTGGTCAGGCCACCATAACTGCTCTTAACTTCCCATGAAATTCCACTTTCTCATTACTGTCTCTGATAAAACCCCATTTCATGAACAAGCCCAACTGAAACTTGGGCACATCTCAAATCATATTAAGTGGGAAGTTCCTTAATTATACTCAATCACTTACTTGTAATTTTTCCCCTCGATCCAAATACTACTTACAAATAATATTTGAATAAGGTTGGTTAGTTGTAAACCTAGTCCTATTCCCAAAATAGTGAATGTGTTTCCAGGATAAGCAAATCCTACTGAAAATTTACTTTCATCCTATTTTTGGGATTGGAAAAAAGAAGGCAGAAGATGATTTGGGGAATTAAGGGAACATCACCTGTTAGATTCAAGAACCTATTGTAGACATTATGTGAAAAAAGTGAGCCAGCTCTTTCCTTCATCCTATTTTTGGGATTGGAAAAAAGAAGACAGAAGATGATTTAGGGAATTAAGGGAACATCCACCTGTTAGATTCAAGAACCTATTGTAGACATTATGTGAAAAAAGTGAGCCAGCTCTTTCCCTGGCTTTTCCACTCTCTGCAGACAATATCAACAATACCATTTCTTTACATTTAAAAAAAGTCAACAGAAAAGGCAGCTGCACTTTAGGAAAATAAAAAATAGAAACATTGTTTTTAGCGTTCCCCATATATGTGAGAAAGAACTGCTACACACAGAAAAATTTATTCTTTCCTAATTTAAACAGTCTGCAACAGCAATGAAGTATAGCTCCCAACCTAACTTTCCTTTTAATGGCAAACAAGGTGTAACAGTTTTAAAGCCATTATAATCTGTGGTGTAAAGAAGTTTCAGAACTAGGTTCTGTTTTGCAACTGTGATGATTTGTGCGTTCTTTTAGCACTAGGTATCCAAGGAAGAGATCCCCAGAGTTCTTTCTGCACCACTGAAAACTTACCAAGCAACAGAAAGTAAAAATACATCTTCACAGCCCAAGTAAAGAACTTTGCATTTCCATGATGCCTTTTACACTAAGAAATAGAACAGCAGGCCCTGAATCAGACATGCTACAGAATTAGAATTTTGTTATTTTTTTTCCACATCAGTTATTAAGCACTCTGTACCATAAAATTTTGCATTTGGATAATATATATATTGAAATAGCATAATACAATTAAACACCCAGAAAATCCTCTAACGTTACACATTATACAGGTTTATAAGGAACTAATAAGAAAAAAAGTAAATAATAATAAGCCTTACCTTCCATTCTTATTTTCAGACACATGAGAATTTACTTCAATTAAATTATCCAGGTCCTGATCTCTAAAGAAAAAAATACAATTTAGTTACAACATAATTTTAGAAAATAAGCAATTTTTAGAAAAACTTTAAATCAGTACATAATCTTAGACATAGTCGTTTGTGGTCTATAAGGATATGGGAGACTGGAAATCTGACATTGACCTACTTGATCCATACAACTTATAGATCAAATATGAAAGTATGCATTATGTGTGAGAGGGAAATAAAGAATAACTTTTTGGAAAGTCTGGGAAATCTGGTCTGAAAAGAAACCATTGTTTATATTTACACTCAGCTGTCATTTAACGAGTACAGACTTCGTGGCACAAAGTACTAACCACGTATTTTCACATGGATTATCTCATTCAGATCTCACAAAATCCTGCAGAACAGCATCTGGAGCTCAGAAAGGCTAGGAGAATTTTTCAAGGTCAATTAACTAATTTATGGAAGAATCAAGATTTGAGGGCAAGCCACTTGTAAACTGAAACCAACTCTTGGATGTTTACCTGGAGACTTCATTCAAGTTTTGGGGATCACAAAAACATAGGAAATCAACCCAAATTTGAATAAACAGTTCATAACATGGAGAATAAATGGGATGATTAGATTCCTAGATCTTGGACTATGTTATGGATTTGACATCCTTTGATGAGCTACGAGGTTCTCCAGTATGTTATTTATATACTAGTTATTTATTTATTTGGTATAACACTAATAGTTCTTGCATTTTTATTTTTTCTTGAATTCAGGAAAGGCTTTGTCATGAACCCTGTTGAGTAGGAGCATCGCTTAGGAGTCAGAACAATGAGGCCATCTTTTCCCTTACTTCCTTGGCCAGGCTAGTCAACCTTTCTATGCTTTGTTTTGTAAAGTAGGACACTAATATCCAATTTCATAAGATTGCAGTGAGAATGAATGAGTTAATGTTGATAAAACTCATGGCACAATGACCAAAGTTGGAGGTGAACTGAATAAGAATTAACAACAGTTGATGGAAGTGTAGTGATGCCATGGTAGGCACTATTGATTCCACCATTTTAAGGGACTACTTTGTCATTTTTAATTCTCTCTTAAATTTTCTCATCTTTGAAATTAACTCTAGTTCTTAAAAATCTCCCTTGTTATGGTCCTGAATCAGTATATGGACTCCCGCTCACAAAATTAATATTGATAAGTACGCAAAATACAAGAAAAATGTTCTCATCTTTATGTAGAGTGAGATTTAATACTCTTTTTACATAACATCCAGGCCATCAGTAATTGACAAGATATGGAAATTTGGCAGCATTCCATAGCCACACTTAAATCTTATATTTAAAAGACTAGCCACATACTTTTGAAATGGTAGAAATTAGGGTAAAGCACATTTTAATGTG